ATGCACACTGCACATATCTTATTTGTAGTGCAAAAAACACTTTAAAACAATACAATAATTAAAATGAAGATTTGTTTTGTCGCACGCTGGGCCTGTAATAGCTGTTGTACAGAAGTCATTGATACTGTGTATATGTTTAACTGTTAGAATATATTTGTGTTAGTAACAGTAGCTGAAGCTAGAGCTAACTGGTTGTGTCCACAGTGGCGTTGCCAAGGAGACCAGGCAGGAGAGAGTGAGAAGTGGGCGGAGCCAAGAAAGAAAATGTTATCTGCGTCTTTGAAAAGGAGCAGTTCAGTTGGGAGCTAGCAGTCGGAGTTAGCAGTTGAGAGAGGAGAGTGGAGAGTGGAGAAGCAGTGTGTGTGAATAGCTGGAGGTTTCTTCAGTCTAGGAAGGCTGAAGGGGGAAACCTAATTTGTTTCATTAGTCAGAGAGGACTAAGGGAAGCTTGTTTAGATCACTAGTTAGGAAAGAAATAGAAATCTAGGATTTGATCAAGAAGGATCAAATTAGAAGGCTATTCACATTAGGAAACATTGTTTAATAAAGTGCTTCACTTCAGTAAAAGTCAATCACAAGTTGTGTCATCGAGAAGAGAGAACTGTATTGCAAACCAAGTTACATTCCAAGTTCTATAAGTTATTCAAAGTTATTCCAAGTTAATTAACAGCCTGCAACCATATGCTTTGTACAAAATAAACTTATTAACTTTTGTTGAAGAACGTGTCATCTCCATTTATCTGCGTCTGGGGAGCCAGTTCTCATCGGCAATACCTCACGTTGGTGGCAGTTACCTTAATTACATTCATAGTCATCCACACCTGTATAATTGGTGGCAGAATTTAAGAACAGTCTGTGCAATTAGTGTCAGAGGGTGGGTTCTTTAAAGCTAAAAACCCTATACCCTGTCTGTTGTTGGAATTGCAGCACCTTCGCAATTGGCACAATTGTACAACTGGTGCGTGCACACTTCGCAAATTTGGTGTCAGAGGTGGGATAGACTTTGCACTGTACTTTTCTATAAGATGTATACTTAAGCCCAGCAGGAAGCCAGGGGCGCCTCAGGGATTTTCCTGAAGTGATGGTCTTTAGAGTCTTTAATGATACAACAAAGTCTTTATTATGGAACAAACAACAGATCTTAAATGGTTCAAACAACACTTCAAGGCTTTCTTCGTCTAGTCCTCAATGGACTGCTACCTGACTTTGGTTAACTGAACTTTCTCTTTAGGGGAAAAAACCCTTTTTAACCTCTCCCAGGCTGCTTTCTATCTATGCCTCATCAGTGTGAGTCCTACTACCGATTCCAAGTGTGTCTGGGTATCGAGTAGACCTACCAGCCGAAGCTTGAAGATATTTCAGCTGGAGTTCCGTGGATCTGTAATGCTGTCCTCCCTCCGAGAATTCTTTGAGAACTTCAAGCCTGTTTCCCCCTAATGCTGTGAGGCTGAGAGGCTGTGAGCTTTCAGCCAGAGCTTTTGGGACCTTTCCGCTGGAATTTCTGTTTCTGTATCCCCGGATGTTCCTTTTCCCTGGATGCTCTCAAGAAAGGAAGCTTTTCTATGGGATGAGCTGGTCTACGTCCTATAGCTTAGCTACCTTGTGAGACTGCCCAAAATGGCTCCTTTCCTTCCCAGAGCCCTGAACAAGGGGCAGAACCAAAGCTTAATTAAGATGGACAGGAGGCCTGCCCTATGATTGCAAACTTTTAACAGAAAGAAAATAAAGTTGGAGCTCCTGGTACAGCCATACCAGCACAAAGAATAATGTTAACAAATATAAACTTATTAGTATTTCAATGGGAAGTGTGAACCTGCTTTTGGCTGATAAGATTGTTGTTGTTGTTGTTGTGTGCATTCAAGTCATTTCAGACTTAGGGTGACCCTGAGCAAGGGCCAGGTAAATGACCTTGGAAGGCCATATTCAGCCCTCGGGCCTTATTTTGAAGACCCCTGCCCTATACTCTTGAGGAGACAGGAGGCATTGTTCTTAAGGCAGCCCCACTTCTCTGGGCCCCTCTCCTTTTCTCCCAAATTTATTATTCTTGACTAGCTGTATCTGCCACACATTGCTGTGGCCAACTTTCCCTCCCTCTTTCTCTCCTTTCTTTCTCTCCTTCCTTCCTTCCCTTTTTTCTTTACTTCTTTCCTTTCTTCCTTCTCTTCCCTTCCTTTTCCCTCTTTCCTTTCCCTTCCCTTTTCTTCCTTCTCTGTTCTTGGACTGCAACTCCCAGCAGTCCTCCTGATTAATCTACCTACCTACCTACCTATCTCTATCTAATCTATCTATCTTATCTATCTGGAGGATTGCTGGGAGTTGCAATCCAGGAATAAGTAATTGGAGATACACGGGGATTGGGATGCTCTCAAAGAAATCCAATGAGAAGAAAGCTTGCATCTTGGAAGCAGTGCATTTGGATCATCCTCCTCTCCTAAAGGGCCTGGTCTAGGGGATGCTGGGAGATGTAGTCCGGAAGAGAGTGTGGATATGCTATTGTGTGTTTTGTTTGCCAGGGGGAGCCATTTTGCGCATACGCTGTAGCATCTTTTTGCTTTTTTTTTTGGCTTTTTAAGCCCCTTCCATTGTGCTTTTCAGTGTTTTTATGAGTGATGGTCACTTGTTGGCCTGATAGGTGTATTGTGTCCAAATTAGGTGTCAATTCGTCCAGTGGTTTCTGAGTTATGTTAATCCGACAAATGAACATTACATTTTTATTTATATATATATTGGGTGCCCAAAACAAAGTTTGAAAGCTAGTAATTTTGAAAACCAAGATTACTATGAAGGAGAAATGATAGGAAAAACAAATAATAATAATAATAATAATAATAATAATAATAATAAGATCTGCACACATTATTTGCCGATACATCACATAGTCCTAGACGCTTGGAAGTGTCCAACGTGTGATCCAATACAACAGCCAGCAGAGTGATCTTGTTTGCTGTGTACTAATCTTGTTGTGTTTCAAATAATAATAATACTTTATTTATACCCTGCCCTCTCTCCAGAGGGACTTGGGGCAGATATTTGGTGATATTTTGAAATTTTGTTATTTCTAATAACAGGTTGAAGATTTATTTCTCCCTTTTCTTATTTTTGGAGAAGTACTAACTGTAAAGTGGTATAGCATAAAATCATAAAGTTGGAAGAGACCTCGTGAGCCATCCAGTCCAACTACCTGCCAAGAAGCAGGAACATCACATCCAAAGCATCCCCGACAGCTGGCCATCCAACCTCTGCTTAAAAGCCTTCAAAGAAAGTGCCTCCACCACACTCTGGGGCAGAGAGTTCCACTGTTGAACAGCTCTCACAGTTAGGAAGTTCAGGTAGAATCACCTTTCCTGTAGTTTGAAGCCATTGATCTGCTGCTCCACAAACTATATCAATGGTGCAAATTCCAATAAGAGATTCCATTAGGAAGAGCCTCTTGAGTTGACTGGATGAGCTGTTCAACTATGGATGAGAGTGGTGGATTTTCCCCTCACTGGAGGCTTCTAAACTGAGGTTGGTTGGCCATCTCTTTCTGCATGGCAAGAAGTTGAGCTGTATAGCTTTATGTCCCTCCCAGCTTTGACATAATGAATCCCAGGTTAGCTGGCGCAAGTGCTTTGTAGTTGCAAATTGTTTCATGCTTCTGTTTCCACCACCAATCTAGGTATATAATAAAATAATAAAATAAAACTTTATTTATATACCGCTCCATCTCCACGAGGGGACTCAGAGCGGTTCCCAGGTAGCATCACAAAACATACAAAGTAAAAAACAACATAACCATAAGATTAACAAAACAAAATATAAGCATAAAAATTGTCACCATAACAACATATATTCAAAGTAATCCTGCCAGTTCAAGGCAACTTAAAAATTTAAAAGGCCCGGCCAAGATTTGTGCAAGCCCAAAAATTCTAGAGGGCCCGGGAATTAAGTGCAAAGCTATGGCAGGCAACAATAATATTAGGTACGGGTCTGTGGCTGTTCATTCCGGGCCTGATTAGAGGAAAGAATCTGGTTAATTGGTAGGAAGAATAAGGCCATATTCGACAATGTGTAGGGCTGAATTAGAACTGGTCTTTTTCAAAGTCTTGTTGAAACCACCAGGTCTTCAAGCTCTTATGAAAAGAGGGGAGGGATGGGGCCTGTCTCATTTCCCTTGAAAGGGCGTTCCAGAGGCAGGGGGCACCACTGAGAAGGCCCTCTCTCTCGTCCACACAAACCACGCTTGAGACGGTAATGGGACCAAGAGGAGGGCCTCCCCGGAAGATCTTAGAGCTCGTGTCGGTTCATAGATGGAGATGCGATCACAAAGATGGGTGGGGCCTGAACCGTTTAGGGCTTTATAGGTCATGACCTGCACCTTGAATTTGGCTCGGCAACTTCTCGGCAGCCAATGAAGCTGTTTTAATAGGGGTGTTGTATGCTCCCTATAGTTTGCTCCAGAAAGGAGCCTGGCTGCCGCCCATTGTACCAGTTCAAACTTCCAGGCCGTCTTCAAGGGCAGCCCCAGTCTAGCAATAGTCCAGTCTAGATGTAACCAAGGCGTGGACCACCCTGGCCAAGCCAGACTTCATGAGCATCGAGCATCAAGCGACAGCGTTGACTCCAGGAGAACCCCCAAGCTACGGACCTGCGCCTTCAGGGGGAGTGCAACCCCATCGAGCACAGGTTACCACCCAATACCCCAGTCCACCCCATCACTGACCAGGAGGACCTCTGTCTTGTCTGGATTAAGCTTCAACCTGTTAGCCCTCATCCAGTGCATCACAGCTGTCAGACACTGGTTCGAGGTCTGGGAGGCTTCCTTGGAATTCGGTGGAAATGAGTATGTTGTGTTAGCAAAACGCAGGCTAGGAAAACCAAGTTATGGGAGTTGGGTGGATCGGTTTCATGACAAAGGAGCATTGTGGGAATCCATTCCTTCTATGCATTGGTTTTGTTGGTCTCCTGTGCCGAAACGGGCATCCTCATATTGTCATTTCTTCTTCTTTTTTTGTTCACAGTGGATTAAATTTCATTGACCTGATGGTTCGACAGGGGAACATTGACAATCCACCTAAAGCACCACTTGTCCCTGGATTTGAATGCTCTGGAATTGTAGAAGCAGTGGGTGACAATGTGAAAGGCTATGAGGTAATGACGTGTGTCTATGTGATTCGGTGGGGGGAAGGGTCTTTTAATGCTTGGGGCTCATATTCAGAAGTATGATTTTTGGGGACTCGTCGACATTTGTTGGCCCCTGAGTTGGCCCAGGGGTGTATGGATTCCATGACATCTACACAATGCATATGGTTCATTCATCATATGACAGGTGGAGGCTGCTTAGCATTGCCTTGTCCGACTAAAGAAAAGTTGCGGCATGCACCAAGCATGAAAATGGTGGCAGCCATTGCTTGGTGCCTGTAGTAACACTAGCCGGAGTGACAAGGTGATCAGAGAAGGGAGGTGGAAAAGGAGGGATCAATTCCTTCTTTCCCTGCTCCCCAATCTTGCATTGCTTTGTCACTCTGGCTGTCATTTCTATAGGCACCAAGCAATGACCCCTGCCATTTTCATGCCCAGTGGTCATGCAAAGGTCAGATTGATGGGGGCAAGATAAAAGTGATCTTATGTTGATTTTTTCCATCCTTCTTGCTTCCTCCCAAACCTATGTAAACCTTAGATTATTGCTTACTTTGCCATAATAATAATAATAATAATAATAATAATAATAATAATAATAATAATACACTCCATTTATATTTATTTATTTCATGCATTTCTACCCCACCCTTCTCACCCCGGGGACTCAGCGTGGATCACAGTACACATGCATGGCAAACATTCAATGCCATTTTTGTATAGACAATACAGAGACAGACAGAACAGAAGGAGCTGTGCTGTTGTTTCGACTCAATGTCCAGGTTTTTAGTGCCATGGAAGGTTGGGCTTGAATCAAGCCATCGGGAGTGTGTCCAACCACAATACAAATCCAAGAATGCTATAGGAAACCCAATGCAAATACAGGTGGTCCCCAAGTTATGATATAGGTTCTGTGGGTTCTTCAGCTGAATCTGTATGTTAGTCAGGACAGGTACATTTTGTAAATATAACTCCAGTCAAATGTGTATATGTGTGAGAGTTTCGGATTGCATAGGGAAGTGTTAACACCCTCGTGATGTTTTGATATCTATTCCCCTGTCAAAAGATGTCTCTGTGATAATTGGATTTTTTTTGGGGGGGGGGGAGTCTTGTTGTGCAAATAAGGATTGGTGAGAGAGCTTCATTGGAAAACCCGATGATAAAAAAAACTTTTAGGAGTGAATTTCCCTTCCTTAGGGTAGATTTCTCTTACTTCCTGTTGTCTCACCCCCATTCTTTTTTTTCTTTTTCTTTTGCTTGATGTTCAGGCAAGAAGCACTGCCTGAACATCAAACAAAAAGAGGGTGCTAGAAACAACATCATACGAAAGCTGACTGGCACAACCTGGGGATCACAACCAGACACAGTGAAGACATCTGCCCTTGTGCTATGCTACTCTGCTGCTGAGTATGTATGCCCAGTGTGGGACACGTCTCACCACACTAAAACAGTGGATGTAGCTCTTAATGAGACATGCCACATTATCACGGGGTGTCTGCGCCCTACACCACTGGAGAAATTACACTGCTTAGGCGGCATTGCACCACCTGACATCCGCCGGGAAGTAGCAGCCAATAGTGAAAGGACCAAGGCAGAGACATCTCCAGCTCATCCCCTGTTTGGGTATCAGCCAGCACGTCAATGACTTAAATCTAGAAATAGTTTTCTAAGATCTATAGAGACACTCGCTGGAAAACCTCAGCAAGCGAGAGTCCAAAAGTGGCAGGCTCAAACCCAGAACTTCAACCAATGACTGATACCAAATGAGAGACTCCCTCCTGGGCACACAGAAGACTGGGCGACTTGGAAGGCGCTGAACAGACTGCGCTCTGGTACCATGAGATGCAGAGCCAACCTCAAGAAATGGGGCTATAAAGTGGAATCCACGATATTTGAGTGTGGAGAAGAGCAAACTACAGACCACCTGCTGCAATGCAACCTGAGCCCTGCCACGTGCACAATTGAGGACCTCCTTGCGGCAACACCAGAAGCACTCCAAGTGGCCAGATACTGGTCAAAGGACATTTAATCAACTACCAAGCTTGCAAATTTTGTGTTTTGTCTGTTTGTTTGCTTTGTTCTGTTAGAAATGTAATACAATTAACTGTTTGCCCTGACACAACAAATAAATAAACCCCCATTCTTAACTATGTAAGTCAGATATTTGTTACTTGGCCACTGCCCCTATATAGTTTTGAAACTGGATTGTAATTTTTGGTTCCTCAAATAGAGCTGTACCCAAAACATTGTTCTCTTGACTGTGTTTCTTTCCATGAACTTTAGATTGGAGACAGAGTCATGGCCTTTGTCAACTACAACGCCTGGGCAGAAGTTGTGTGCACACCGCTTGAATTTGTCTACAAAATTCCCAACGACATGAGCTTTTCCGAAGCTGCTGCTTTCCCTATGAACTTTGTAACGGCATACATGATGCTCTTTGAGGTGGCCAATCTGCGAGAAGGCATGTCCGTGTTAGTTCATTCAGTCGGGGGTGGAGTGGTAAGTTGATTTTCATCTCACTTTTGTCCTATAAGGAATTCTAAGGCTTATCTTTACCCATGTGTGAATTCGGCACAGTTCTAATATCCCAATGCCATTTTAAATTTTAGCATTTCAAGAAGATTTGAAAGAGTTTGAAACTTTTTCCTATACCTACTCACAGGAGGAAATCTGTTGCATAGTGTAGTGAATCTTACCTAGTAGGCTGAGAAAGAAGCCTGGATAACAGTATGGCAAACCTCTATTTTGAGAGTGTATACCAGGGAAGCAGTCATCTTGAGTGAGGATAGCTAGAAGATGGGAGGAGTTTGAGGTTTCTTAGGATTGGCTAGAGCAGAGGGGAGGAGCCAAACCTTAGGAGGGAAAAAGATTTCAGCTTCTGAGGAGAAGAGAATTGGGAGCTGGTGGAAGAAGTGTTTTTGGAAACTGGGTTTTTAGAGAGAGAGCATCTGTGTCAGGCAAGGCTGATTAGATGATAGGAAGGGTCAGACACCTATCTGATTTCTTGTGGGAGATAGCACAAGGGATTCGGTCTCTAGACTGAGTTAGTTAGCTGAAAGGACTCTGGGAGAGTTAGCTGATAACTCAGGGGACTACCTAGGTTAGGTTAGTCAGAAACTCATTGCTATTTCTCTGAAGTAGAGTGAGGGATTTTTGTAACCAGCAACTATGTCTGTTTGATTAGCTCTGTATGTAACTAAGTGAAGAAACTCTTTTCAAGCAACCATGAAGCTATTGTACACTTTTGTAACAAATTAAGCGTTTTGTGCCTCTCAGAAGAAGAAGTTAGTTGTCTGTTGTTTTATAAATAAATCTTTTTCTATTTTAACTTTCAAAAAGATCTCTATCGTTCCTCAATATATCTGTAATCCTTTGTGATAAATCCAGTATCTTTAACACTCTAATACAGTGTTTCTCAACCTTCCTAATGCCACGACCCCTTAATACAGTTCCTCATGTTGTGGTGACCCCCAACCATAAAATTATTGTCGTTGCTACTTCATAACTGTAATTTTGCTCCTGTTATGAATCGTAATGTAAACATCTGATATGCAGGATGTATATTTCATTCACTGGACCACATTTGGTACAAATACCCAATATGTCCACATTTGAATACTGGTGGGATTTTTTTTGGGGGGGAGGGGGTTTGATTTTGTCATTTGGGAGTTGTATTTGCTGGGATTTATAGTTCACCTTCAATCAAAGTGCTTTCTGAACTCCACCAATGATGGAATTCAACCAGTCTTGGTGTACAGAACTCCCATGACCAACAGAAAATACTGGAAGGGTTTGGTGGCCATTGACCTTGAGTTTTGGGACTTGTAGTTCACCTACATCCAGAGAGTACTGTGGACTCAAAAAATGATGGATCTGGACCAAATTTGGCACAAATACTCAATATGCCCAAATGTGAACACTGGTGAAGTTTGGGGAAAATAGACCTTGACATTTGGGAGTTGTATTTGCTGGTATTTATAGTTCACCTTCAATCAAATAGCATTCTGAACCCCACCAATGATAAAATTGGGCCAAACTTTCCACACAGAACCCTCATGACCAACAGAAAATACTGTGTTCTCTAATAGTCTTTGGCGACCCCCCTAACACCGCCTCATGACCCACCCAGGGGTCCCGACCCCCAGGTTGAGAAACACTGCTCTAACACCTTAGAAAGGTCTCTTATCCAAACAGTCATTTTGGGGAGCTAAGGGGAGAGCTGTGTTGGCAGAGAAGGGAAATGTTTACCTCAAAAACTCAATTTAAAAATCCTAAGACATCTTGGGTTGGTGGCAGAATTAAACCAAAAGAAGACTGAAGCAGTGTTCACTCTACCATGACACACCTCTAACATCATCTCACTACCATACTATTGTCCAGTAGTGTGATATTACAGTGGTGTTCAGCTGTGGGATACTTGGTGTTAGATAACTATGTATTTCGTTATATTAGTGGCAAGCGGCGTGATTTATAATAAGATATAACTTCGCACTTCTCTATAATTGGTGCCAGTGGCAAGATGGATATCGTACGCTTCTTTATACATTTTATTTATTTATTTATTATTCGAACTTATATGCCGTCACTCCCCTGGGGCTCAGAGCGGCTTACAAGAACAGGTTAAAATCGAACACAATTTAAAAACAATTTAAAAACAGCAATACGATAGCATCAAAAGTTAGAAATATTGAAACAACGGAATTAAGTAGAGTAATGAATAAATGGCAATTAAAGGACGTATGGAGATTGGTAAAAGAGAATGAAAGTAGATATACATACTACTCATCGGTACATAAGGTGTATACAAGAATTGATTATATTTTTGTCTCCAAAAATATGACAAGTAAAGTACTAAATGCTGATATAGGTATGATTAAGATTTCGGATCATGCTTTGGTTTCAATTGAGATTGTGTTGAAATGTGATTATGACAAAATGAAAAGGTGGAGGTTAAATACAAGAATACTAAATCACAAAGAAATATTAGATAAAGTGCAAGCAGAATGGCAAGAAATTTGGGGTTTTAATGAAAAGGGGGTGACAAAGGGAGTTCTATGGGATACTATGAAAGCAGTGACCAGAGGGTTATGCATAAAAGAGACAATTAACTTAAGAAGAAGGCAAGAAGAAAGGAAAAGGAATTTAGAAAGAGAAATAGAGGAGATTGAAAAAGCATATGTAATAAAGAGAGATATACGAATTTATGCTAGGCTAAGAGCAAAAAAAGAGGAATTGGATAAAATGGAAATAGACGAAGTACAAGAAAATTTAATTTATTTAAGGAGGGAATATTTCGAGTTTAGTGATAGGAATTCAAAGATGCTAGCCAAATCAACACAGAAAAAGAAAATGGAAGGAATGATAAATATGATAAAAGATAAAACAGGTAAATTATGTAGAGCTATGAAAGAAAAATTGAAAGTATTTGAAGAATTTTATAAAGAACTGTACCAAACCAAAGCAAGTCCCATAGAGGCAATTAGGAAATATGTGGAGGAAAATTGGGAGAGTAAGCTGGAAGAGAAAGATAAAGAATTACTGGAACAACCTATTAAGAAAAAAGAAATAGAGGAAGTTATTAAGAAATTAAAAGTTGGCAAAGCTCCGGGCTTGGATGGTCTAGGGACAGAATATTATAAAAGCTTTAGAGAAGTTTTAACCCCAAAATTATTAGAATTGTACAATGGAATAATGAAGGGAGATAAAATACCCGAATCATGGAGGAAATCATTAATAATATTAATACCTAAACCTGATAAAGACCTAACAGACCCAGGGTCATATAGGCCCATATCATTAATTAATCAGGATGCAAAGATATTGTCCGCGATAATAGCTAATAGAATGAATAAATGTATGTATAAGTACATAAAAGAAGATCAGTGCGGGTTTATAAAAGGAAGACAAATGTCAAATTTGATAGGGAGAGTACTAAATAAAATTCATTGGGCTAAAGAGGGGAAAGAAAAAGCAGGGATATTATCATTAGATATTTTTAAAGCGTTTGATTGTGTGGAATGGGAGACATTAAGGAAATATTGAATAAATTCGGAATGGGAAATAGAATAAAAGGAGTATTAAAACAATTTTATTCAAGGAACTCGGCAGTGGTAACTATAAATGACGGAGTGACAAATGAAATAAAAGTGACTAGAGGAACCAGACAAGGGTGCCCTTTGTCCCCGATACTATTTGCCATGGTGATAGAACTGTTTGCTAATAACATAAGGAATGACAAAAATCTAGAAGGGTTAGGAAAAAAGGAGAAACAGAAGGTGAGTTTATTCGCTGACGATACATTGTTATTTATAGAAAATATAGTGGAGAAAATGGATAGAATAAAAGAACATTTGGAGATATTTGGGAAAGCAACAGGTTTACAAGTTAATTGGAGTAAGTCAGAAATGATGCTACTTAATTATACAAGAGAAGAAGAAAAAGATCTTATAGAACAGAGCAAAGGGGGAATAAGAATCAAGAACAAACTAAAATACTGTGGGAGTAATAATAACTAAGGATTTAAAAGAGATAGAGGAAGTAAATGTAGTAACATTAAGGAAAGAAGTCCAGAAAAAGTTAATAGAGTACGAAGGAATACGCTTATCATGGTTTGGAAGAATAGCATTAGTAAAAATGAAAATACTTCCAAAAATAAATTTTATATTTAGGATGCTACCACTTCAAATTACAGAAGAAGAACTAACTAGATGGCAACAAATGATTAATAAGTACTGTAATGGAAGTAAAAGGAACAGACTAAATAAACAATTATGGTATAGATCGCAAAAGGAGGGTGGACTGGCGTTACCTAATATAAAAAAATATTACGAAGCAAGTAGATTAAGTTTGGTTATAGAAGGAATGGTTAAAAAAGAGGGAATAGATTGGCTTAGTAATGATTCAGGAAAAGTGGAAGATTAAACTTGGAATATATTTTTTAAACAGTTTATTAGAAAAGAAATGAGGGAAATTAGAAACCCAATGCTGAGCAACATACTGAAAGTATGGAATAAATATAAGGGGAGGTTAATAAAGGAGGGATCAATTATAACCCCAATAGTGATGGAAAAGAAATTCCCAAAAAATTTAAAAAAAGTAATGGATAAAAAGGTAAGGGAAATAAATTTAGATAGGATAGGGGATTGGATGAAGGTGGAAATGAAGAGGGAAAGGATGTTGGAAGAGTTTAAAGAAATAAAATTGTCATGGTTTCATTGTATACAATTAGAACAATGGGTAATAAATTGGAAAAAAAATAATAGAAGTGAAAGCCAACTCAGTCAATTCGAACAAATAATACAGAAGGGAAGGACTGTAGAAGAACACGAAAACTTGAGAGGTATAATTAGCAAAATTTATAAGATATTAATTGAAATGAAAGATGAAAAAACAAAAAAGTGCACCCTTAAAGAGATTTGGGAAGAAGATTTAGGGATAAAAATAAGCGAAATAGAGTGGCAACAATTATGGGGACAAAGACATTTAAAAAATTTATCGAT